GTGTGCAACAGGGTTGTATCTTCCACTTTTCTTATTCAATCTATATGCTGAACAATTAAACTGAAAAGTTGGAGTGTGGGAAGAAGAATGTGGCATCAGGATTGGAGGAAGACTCATTAACAACCTGCAATATGCAGATGACACCACCTTGCTTACAGAAAATAAAGAAGACTCAAAGCACTTACTGATGAAGTTCAAAGATGCCAGCCTTCAGTATGGATTACTCCTGAATGTGAAAAAAAAGGAAATCCTCACAATTGGACCGATAAACAACATCATGATAACTGGAGAGGAATTGAAGTTGTCAAAGATTTCATTTACTTGGATCAACAATCAACATCCATGGAAACAGCAGTCAAGAAACCAAACGTTGTATTGCATTGGGCAAACCTGCCTCCAAAGACCTCTTTAAAGTTCTAAAAAGCAAAGATGTCACATTGGTGACGAAGGTACACCTGTCCCAAGCCATAGTCTTTTCAATCATCCCATATGCATGGGAAAGCTGGACAATGAAAGACAGAAGAAGAATTGACACATTTGAATTGTGATGTTGGAGAAGAATATTGAACGTACTATGGACTGCCAGAAGAATGAATTAATAAGTCTTAGAAGAAATAAAACCAGAATGCTCTTTAGAAGCGAGAATGGTGAGACTTCGTCTTGCTTACTTTGAACACGTTATCAGGAAAGACCATTTGCTAGAAAAGGACATTGTGAGTTGGTAAAGTAGAGGGTTAGCGAAAACGAGGGAAACCGTCAATGAAACAGATTGACACAATTGCCGCAACAATGGACTCAAACATACTAACTGTCTTAGTCATCTAGTGCTACTCTGACAGGAATACCACAAGTGGATGGCTTTAACAAGGAGAAAGTTTATTCTGTCACAGTCTAGTAGGCTGGAAGTCTAAAATCAGGGCGTCAGCTCCAGGGGAAGGCTTTTTCTTTTCTGTTGGCTCTGGAGGAAGGTCCTCATTGTCATCAGTCTTCCCCTGGACTAGGAGCTTCTCTGTGCAGGAACCTCGGGTCCAAAGGGTGCACTCTGCTCCTGGTGTTTCTTGGTAGTATGAGGTCTCCAATCTCCACCTGCTTCCCTTTCCTTTTATCTCTTACAAGAGATAAAAGGTGGTTCAGGCCACACCCCAGGGAAACTCCCTTTACATTGGATCAGTGATGTGACCTGGGTTAGGGTGGTGTTACAATCCCACCCTAATCTTCTTTAATGTAAAATTACAATCACAAAATGGAGGGCAACCACACAACACTGGGAATCATGGCTAGCCAAATTGATACACATATTTTTTGGGGGACACAATTCAGTCCATGATACCAACAATCATGAAGATGGAACAGGACCGTGCAATGTTTCATTCTGTCATCCATAAAGTCTCTCTGAGTTGGAGTCAACTCGACGACACCGGTCAACAACAACGTCCACATTGAACAGGACTGATCTGTATAACCAATACCATATTGAGGAAATGATAGTGTGTGACTTCTGAGGCTAGGTCATTAAAGACAATGTGATTTCTGCCTACTTTCCCTCGGATAATTTAAGAGAAGGTAAATGCCATGTCATGAGAACACTCAAACAACCCTATGGACAGGTTCACATGGTAAGAATCTGAGGTCCCTTGCCAATGGCCAACTTTAACATGCCAGCATATGAGTTGGTCACTTTAAAAGCTTCCAGTTCAGCCTTCAGATGACTGCAGCTCTGGAGGACATCTTGATAGCAACCTCATGAGAAATCTTGAGCTAAGCCATTCCCAAATTCCTGACTCACAGAAACAGTGTGTGAAAATAAATGTTTGTTGTTGTTTTAAGTTGCAGGATTTGGGGATAACTTGTTACACAGCGATAGATAGCAAAGGCAGAGTTGTAGTAAGAAATGAAGTAAAATATGGGAATAAATATGGATGTCTATCAATTGTATGAAATAAAATAATGTTTTTCAGGGTATAAGATATACATAGGGCTGCCAAAAGTTTGGTTAACAGCTGACCACTTAACCACTGTGCCACCAGGGCTCCGGAAACTTTATGACAATAACATGTAACTCAGTGGGAAGATCTACAAAGCTAAAACATCCTATAGTCCTTGAATTGCCCATAAGGAGGTAAAAGTGCTTGTTTATATACATAGCTAAAGAAGATGGTTCTTTTCTCTTTCTGTTTTTTTTTAAATTTTTTGCGTTATAAAGAGTGATTTAAAAAACAATAGCTTTATTGGAGTAAAATTAACATACAATAAATTGTGTATCTGTAAAGCATACAGTTTGACATTTGACATGTATATATTCCTGAAATTATTACCACAATCAAGATAGTGAATGTATTCGTATAAATGTTTATTATTATTATGACCTCTTGATTAATTGATCTCTTGTTCATTACAAAATCCCCTTCTTTATCCCTGGTAATATTGTTTTCTGAAATCTACTTGATCTGATAGTAAAATAGTCACTCCAGTGTTTTTTTTGACTAGTGTTAGAAAGGTTAATCTTTTAAATTTTAGTCTATTTGTATTTTGCTATTTGTTTTCTATTTGTTCCATCTATTCTCTGTTCCCTTTTGCTTTTTTTTTTTTTTTGCCTTCTTATACATTGAGTATTTGTTATGATTCCTTTCTATTTCTTTTGTTGGCTTATTAACTACAATTTTTTGTTTTGTTATCTTAGAGGTTGCTTTGAAGTTTGTAATATACCATTTTAACTTGTCATAGTCTACCTTCAAGTGATATATCACTTCACGTGTAGTATTAGAAACTTACAATGCTATAATCCATTTTTTCCTTCCCTGGCTTTATGCTATTGTTGCCATGCATTGCACTTTTACATATATTATAAACTCCAGAGGCACCATCCACATATATCTGTAGTCCTCTTTGGTACTTTGTCCTGAAAACTTTAACCACTTCAGTTTTTCTGGACTCTCAGCTCTGTCCCCTCAACTTAGAGACTCTGCTGGGCTCCACCTGTGTTCCTCCTCCCTGTGGTGCAACCTGAAAACTCTCTCAGGGCAGCTGGGTAGTACTGTCACAGTGCTCATTTTGTTTGATTTCTGTCTCTCAGTTATTACTGTCCTTCACTGCCTGAAAACCATCTATGTGTATGTGTGTGTGTGTATGTATGTGTATATGTTACTGGAAACCTTGGTGGTGTAGTGGTTAAGGGCTATGGCTGCCAACCAAATGGTCAACAATTCCAATCCACTAGGTGCTCTTTGGAAACTATGGGGCAGAGAACACAACAGAGTCCCTGACAGAGCAGGAGAAAAGTAGGATGCAAAACTGAAATTCTAGTAAAAAGACCAGACTTAATGGTCTGACTGAAACTGGAGGAATCCCAGAAGACATGGCTTCTGGACTCTCTGTTGACCCAGAACTGAAACCATTCCCACAGCCAACTCTTCAGACATAGACCTGACTATAGGACATAAAACGATACTTGTGAAGAATGTGCTTCTTGCTCAAGTAGATTCATGAGACTAAATGGGCAGCTCCTGTCTGGAGGTGAGATGAGAAGGCAGAAAGAGATAGGAGCTGGTTGAATGGACATGGGAAATCCAAGGTGGAAAGGAGAAGTGTGCTGTCACACTATGGGGATGGCAACTAGGGTCACATAACAATGTGTATATAAATTTTTGTATGAGAAACTAAGTTGAGCTGTAAACTTTCGCTTAAAGCACAATAAGAAAAAATAAGCCAAAAATTCCTCATTTTCTTCTCTCTTTTTCTTTTGTTGTATTTTCCCAGAATTTTTTTTATTTTGTTTTTAATTTCACCATGCTTGTTGATCTCAGGAACCTGGCCCATCATTTACAGAACCTGAACCCATTTAATAATATTTTTTATTTAAAATAGAGTCTCTTAATTATATCATTTAGCTGTTTGTAGTTTTAGAGCTTCTAAGTTGATATTATAGCTTGTAAGTTGACTTCTGTCTTTTATAATCATTGAGTTACACTTTCTGTGATGATATTTTTCGTTCTTGATTTTACATTAGTTACTTTCACAACCAGTTGCCCATGCAGTTTGCTTCCACACTGAGTTTGGCTGCTCAAATATTATAAACGGGGTTTGCAATGTGAGCTGAACTCCATCAGGCAGGCAGGGGCAGCATGATGGTGTCACATACTCTGGTTCTCATGTCCCTGTTGCTCTGGGTCTCTGGTGAAAAATTTAAAAGTGCCTCAATTCTTCTAGAGTAGTATCTTTGCAGAAATGATGGCTATTTCCAAAATGGGCTCAATTATGTGCTAAAACATATTATCACTAGAAAGCACATTTAAAATGCGATATTTCAATGTACCTATGGTAAAGTGTATATAGGTATGTATGTGTGATAATTGTCCATTTGTGATTTCAGGTGGCAGTGGGGACATTGTGATGACCCAGTCTCCAGCCTCCCTGGCTGTGTCTCCAGGGGAAATGGTTACCATCAGCTCCAAGTCCAGCCAGAGTATTGGTAGCACCTTAGCCTGGTACCAGTTGAAAGCAAGACAGGCTCCTAAGCTGCTCATCTACTCAGCATCCACCCAGGCATCTGGGGTCCTTGACCGGTTCCATGGCAGTGGATCTGGGACGGACTTCACTCTCACCATCAGCAGCCTCCAGGCTGAAGATGTGGCAGATTATTACTGTCAGCACTTTTATAGCTATGTTCTCACAGTGCTTCAGTCTCGAACACAAATCTCCTACCCAAGGTTACAGGCCAGTGATTCTTCACTGCACCAGCTGTTTCCTTTCTGCTCAGCCCTGAACATGGCTGCATCAGCCCTGTCCCATAGGCTGCATCTCTTAACTAATTCCTGGGATGTTGGCAAGGCCCAGGAGAAAATGAAATGATGTGGTTTTTTTGAGCCCCTTTTTGTCTGAGATTATTGTAAAAGTGTTGCAAATCTCTTATAGATGTCGTCAGGAATTTTCATGTCACAGGAACCTGTAAGTTTCACATGGATAGATCACATGACTGATCTGGTACAGGGCCCAGTGAGTTTTACACCCTGAAAGATCAATTCTCTTTTTCCTGTGACTTCTTGACTCTGGAATGTTCCAATTTTATTTCCTTGTTCTCTTAGTCTTCTTCCTTTCTCTGCACTTACCACAGCCTCCCAAATCTTGACTGTCTCAATATTAAACCCTTGAACCTTCATATTCAAAACTTCCATCAAGAAGGCAGTCTTCCTCTTTCTGTTTCCTTCTGCATATCCTGTTTTTCAGCCATGCTTTTCTGGTCAGTGTCACTGAAGGTGTTTTCCTACTCTACCTCTTATTTGCTCTTTTCTCTTCTCTCCATTTCTTTCAGTGGCACCTCATTCTTTCGAAGGCTAGTCTCTAATTCATTAACCCTATCACTCTAGAAATATTAATAGTTTTCCCTTGTCGTTTTTTTGTTAATTGCAAACTTCCTCTTTAAATTCATCTCTTGGGTGCCTGAGTCTAGTTTGATGACTGAAGGATATCATGATTCTTTCTTGTTGTTAGCTGCTGTCAGGTTGGCTTCTGATCCATGGAGACCTCATGCACAATGGGATCAGACATGTGGCTATCAAGTATACCATTGGATTTATGAGTTCAGCTTTCAGGGAACAGATATGGACTGGAGATTTAAATCTGATAACTAATAAAAGGAGCATTGACTAGATGGAGAACAGAAGAGGCCCAGCGACTGAGCTCTGAGGCAGGGGAGATGAGGAAGAAGCAGCAAAGGAGTCTGAGAAGCAGCAATAGGGATGGATGACAGAAAGGAGGGTGTGACACCCTGGAGCTTAATATAGAGAGAGTATCAAGAAGAAGGACTTTATCAACGTGTTAAATGCTACTGATGGATCTGGAAGATGTAGACTGGGATATGACCATTGGATTTAGCAGTTTGGAGGTCACTAGTGATACTGAGCAGAGCAGTGAGACAGTAGAGATAACACCTTGCATAGAGGGTGCCCAAGAGAGAATGAGATGAGAGGATTTAGGATTCGTGACTCTACAACTTTTTCAATGAGCTTTATGGTAAAGGAGAAGAGTGAAACAGGGCATAACTGGAGGGAGATGTGAGATCAACAGAGATTTGAAAATGATATTTACATGCTGATGGGGATGATGCTAAAGAGACGGGAACATGAATATTCAGGAAAGACAGGAAAGAAATGCCAAGAAATGCTGTTGAGTAGTCCAGAGGTATGAGCCAGGGGACTGGCTTCAGATAGGAGCACTATCTCCTCATCTACAGTAACAGGAAGAAAGAGAGAGTGAGAATGTCAGTGAATCAGAAGACACATGGAAGTTCCTTGTGGAAGTTCACTTCACAGGTAGGAGATGAGGTAATTGACTACAAGTTTGGATGGAAAGGAGGTGTTAAAACTTCAAGAAAGAAGAAAAGAGAAAGAATGAGGACTGAACGTGGACCAGGTAAATGAAGTATGATTGTTAGGTAGTATTAAGGATCATTATGCAAAATAAATAAATAAATAACTAAATAAATAAAATAGACCAAACCAGTTGCAGTTGATGCGATCTTGACTTTGGCAACCCATGTGTGTCAGAGTAGAACTGTGCTCTACAGGGTTTTCAATGGCTGTGATATTATGGAAGTAGATCACCATGCATTTCTTTTGAGGTGTCTCTGGGTGGACTCAAATCACAAACATTTTTATTAGCATGGAGTGTATTACCCTTTTGAACCTCCCAAAGACTCTTGAAGTTAATGATCATAAATTTAAATTTAAGGTGAAACAAGTCAGAATGATTGTGTTTTTCTCCAGCCACATCAGAGATGTAGGGGTAGGCATGTAGAGGGTTGGATTTTTAGTTCTTGATGTGTGCAAGAGAGTCATTGCAAAGAAGGATCATGATTTAAGCTGGTAAGGATGGAATTGAGAATGAGGGACTCAGGGACAGTGAAAATAGGTTTGTAAAGGACATTTTTCAAAAAAAAAAAGGCAAAGTTGTGACTCTCATACAAATATAAAGTGAAGTTATGTTAAACAATTTATTTTACTTATATGAAATGAGAAACTAGGCAGATGATGTAACTGGTTCAAAATAAAAGTTAAAACAGCATAGATTTATATGTAGTGTAGTGAAGAAATGTTGAGAAGAATTGTAAAAAGAGATAATATTTTTGGGAGGCAATTAAGTCTCCAGCAGATAAAGCAGAATACACATATTTATCAGTTACCTACAATTTGCAAAGAGTTTACAATTAGCTAAAAGATAATGAACAAAGTTAGAATCTGATAATCTCAAATGGTATGTTATAGACAATGCAATATTGACACATTTTTTTTTTCCTACAAATTTAAATCCTGATTGTCTTAGCTGGGTTCTCTAGGGAAGCAAAACCAGTGAAATGTATAGATAGATAGACAGATAGATTTATCTCAAGGAAATGGCTCATGCAGTTGTAGAGGCTGGCAAGTCCCAAGTCTATGGGTCAGGCGTCAGATTGGCAGCTTCTCCTGACTCTTGTAGCTGCAGGAGCTGAGGAATCCAATATTGGCAGGTCAGATGGCAGGCCGCTGGCTCATGGGCTGCAGAGGCTGATGAATCCAAGACTGGCAGGTAAGGCAGCAGGCTGCTGGCTCACAGGTCGTAGAGGCCAAAGAATCTCAAGATCGGCAGGCAAATACAGCAGGCTGCTGACTCAAATCCCAAGAACGAGAGGTCAGATGATGATGAGCTAGAAGCAGGATCCAGAGCAAAAAAGTGAGCTTTGACAGAATGTCCATATATATATTGGATACAGGACACACAGCTGAGAAAACTCCCCTTACAACTGATTGGCTGATCACATCAGATCACATCGTGGAGAATGACTACATCATTACATAACTACCAAACCACTGACAATCATAGCCCAGCCAAGGTGACACAACCTTAACCATCACACTGATGAAGGCTAAAAATTGTCAGTGATATCACACTAGATGGAGTGAGATGCACAGCTCTTGGAAATTCCAAGAATGAAACGGTTGATGTTGTGATGATGAGGAAGTTGTAACTCGTTTCTAATGACACGTCCAGGGAATGACTGTGAAAGAGAGTGATCACTGTTGGATAGGAAGAGACCACTGGAGGAAAGGCGATTGAAGAATTGGGATGTCAGGACCATGAAAGGATCATCTATAGGCATATTGAACTGACAGGAATTGTGATAGGAGTAGAGTTGAAGAACCTGACAGTGAGCCAGGAACTAAAATGTTCGAGAAAGGAGGAGGAGAGACATTGGGGCTGGTAGATGACTGCAATAAGGAAGGATGATATTGGGTGATGTAGTCTGCTACACTGCATCCAAATATTTTATTTTATTTTCAGGAGGAGGTATATAGAAGGTGTAGAAGTGGAAAATAAAGGAGAGTGGCAACAGCAGTTCCTTGAGAAGACTTTGGGGAATCATTTGTTCAGAGGAGAAAAAACTCAAAAGTTGAAAGGCTGAGGACGCACCCAGAGATAAGTAGGCTAAGAGGAATTCCAATGGTTAGAGAAGGGTGTAAGCTGTGGAGAAGGGACTCTCTTTTAACTACTGTACATTGGAAATCTGAGTCATTCATTCTGAGTCCTACCATATGTTTGCTTGCTGCTCTCTTACAATCTGCTTTGCTGCCCTCACATTTGAAATCTTTTCTAATGATAAAATAAACCCATTTTCTGCTCCTCACGTTTGCACTAGGAGTCCTTTTTAAAATGTATTGGGAGAAGTAGAATTTGTATTGCCTCTATTACAAGGACAGGTGGAAATCTAGTGTTTTCTCCATCGGATATTTTCTCCATGATAAAATTTGAGTGGGCGAGCAGGGACTAGGAATACTCAGGGGTTAGTGGCTTCTCAAGTGGCTTTTGGCCTAGAAAGGAGGTTCTGTTTGGGGACAGCAGTAAAGGCATTTGGGAAGTGTGGTTGAATGTGATTGGAAGGCTCAGATTACAGCTGCAAATGACCAAGTACTGAGGTCCAGAGTGAGGGCTGAGAGCAGATTAAAGGAAGTAAATGGGAAGAGGAGACCGACTCTCTTTTGGAGCCAGAGGAGGCCTAGCTGCCTATTTTTTCGACTATCTCATGCCAACTTTTTTTTTCTGATTAAAACCAGTCAGCCAACCAACTAACCAACCAGCCAGCCAGCCAACCAACGAACCAACCAACCAACAAACCAACCAACCAACCAACCAATCACAGCAGTCTTTGTGACAGTGTCTAGTAATAAGAAGCAGCCGGGATCCTTTCCTCCCTTCTTCAGTAGGATAGTTTATATTTGGGGTCAAATCATTATAATAGGACATTTTGATGCTGGAAACAGTAATTTATTATACTATCTTTGGACTCAAGGTTGCTCCTGGTGAGGAAAAGTCTGTCCCAGACCCACTGCCACTGAACCAGTGAACACCCCATGAACATTGGTGGAAGCATGGCAAATGAGGCCCTTAGGTGTCTGCCCAGGTTTTTGCTGGTACCAAGCTAAGCAGTGTTTACTGTCAGTGTAGAGAAGGAGTCTGACTGGCCCTGCAGTTGAAGGAGACTCTCTCTCCCAGGGAGACAGCCAGGAATTCTGGCTCCTAGGTTAGTGGAATCTGTCTGCTAGAACTTGAAATGCCAGGCACATGAGGATGATGCACAGATGCTGTACAATCAGGGAAAGAAGAAAAAATCAAGTCAAAATGTTCTCTAACTGTGATAGGTGGACAGGCCTGTGTTCCTCATAGCATTTATTTCATATCTTATTTTAAAATTGTAGCTCTATCTGAATAGGAGGATTATTTTGGAGAGAAAACTTCTCTAGGTTTGCAAGTATCCTCTCATCTGTAACAAAGTAGAGCAAGAGATTAAGGATCTGGATGCAGCTTCTCTCTTGTGTGAT